TGAATGCTCCAACACTGGAAGTTTTTAAGAAGAGACTGGACAGCCATTTGTCTGAAATGGTGTAGGGTTCCTGCCTGGGCAGGGGGTTGGACTCGATGACCTCCAAGGTCCCTTCCAACTTTATTATTATTATTATTATTATTATTATTATTATTATTATTATTATTATTATTATTATTATTATTATTATTATTATTATGGCAACTCACTCAATTAACCAATGGAACAACCTGCCTCCAGAAGTGGTGAATGCTCCAACACTGGAAGTTTTTAAGAAGAGACTGGACAGCCATTTGTCCGAAATGGTGTAGGGTTCCTGCCTGGGGGTTGGACTCGATGACCTCCAAGGTCCCTTCCAACTTTATCATCATCATCATCATCATCATCATCATCATTATTATATTTATGAGTCACCAGGATCCTGGGAATCGCCTTTTGTAACCTGACAAGCAAGGTCAACGGAGAAGTCAGTTTTACTTAACAACTGGGCTACTAACTTAACTACTGCAGCGATTCACCTAACTGTGACAAGAAAGATCGTAATGCAGGACAAAACTCACTGAAGAAATGTTTTGCGTAACCACAGAACTTTTGGGCCCCATTGTGGCCGTTAAGTTTTTTCCCTTCCTTCAAATCAAGCTGCAGGAAATCTCTCGCGGTGATGCCGGCACAAGTTAAAATGACCCCAATTTCCCGGGCAAAGAGAGCGCGGCAGTTGGCGCCAAAGTTAGCCACGCTTTCGTTGCAAGAGGGACCGTCTCGAGGAACGCAGCGAAACCCGCACCCGAGCCTGCAGACAAAAGGGGAAGAGAACGCAGCAAGCGGCTCGAGCGTCCCACCGTTCTATTTACCTTGCCGGTCCCCGCGTCATTTAAACAGCAACGCCTCCCGTCGACGTCACTTCCGCCCGAGCAGCTGCGGGCAGGAGAGGAGGTGGAGGGGAAGATGGCGGCCTTGGGGGAGCCCGTGCGGCTGGAGCGAGGTGAGAAAGAGCGGCACCGCGATGAGTGGTTCCGGGAGTGGGCCGGACGGGTGGGGAATTTGAAGAACCGACTAAAAGGCTGTGGGTGTGTTGGTGTGTGTGTCTACGAAAGCGATTGTGTGCGGGGGGGGACTCTGAACTCCACCGTGCTTGGCAGGCACTAGAGATCCTGAGCGTGAAGGAGGAGGGGTGGCTTTCCAGATGCTGATAGGAATTACAGCCCGTATCAGCTCTCTCACCCGCGCAGAGTGGGAGTTGTAATCCAACAAATATCCGAAGGGTCGTGAGGTTGGCACTCTCGATGAAAGCTTGCGTTGTAAAAGAGGAGCCTCTTACCTTCGAATATCCCATCAATGATGGACCTAGGGGAGCTGTTTCATTTTATCTAAGGCCGTTGGGTATATAACGGGATTAACTTTAGTTATGGCATTACAGTAACTCCTTTTGGGTGTTTATAGAATCTAATGAGCTTGAATCAAAGGAGATGGGTTCACACAACGTTGCAGGCCACACACCCACATACAAAAAGCCAATGCTAAAAGTCAGATTTGACATGCTACGGCTAAGTCCCTGGCCAACCTTGTTTCAATTCAGAACTTAAGCATAAGTTTGGTTTGGTCTGGTGCATATATTGAAGGGAAGCTTTCAAGAAGAACCAGGTTGTAGACTAGGCTGAAAAATCAAAAATATTCAAATCTTGACAATAAACTGAGTTTAATCCATATAAAACTCTTTTGGTAGATGGTTTGTCAGCTAGATGAATATATTATGTTCTAGAAACCCGTTATGTGCTAGTAAGGGTAAAGCAATTAGAAAATATGGTTTGGAGGCACTTTTTGATCCATTCATAAAAACTCTTCAGCCAAGAAAAAAAATTGTTAACATGCAGGCTCCTCATTTTGTAGTTAGCCAAATTCATATGCATATATTTGGATAGTCAAATGAAGATCCTATTTCCTTCTATATTTTAAACATATCTTAGATTGAATAAGATGCAGATGTATTCTTAATCCCAAATTATGTGTTTATAACTACTATATGTAAAATTTAAAGGTAATGCATTTGTTGTAAATAGTGTATTGTAACATAATTTCTAAACATTTATCTGATGTGTGTTGCTAGAAGATAAAAGTTTTTTTTAAATTATTTCTTTCAAGGAGGAAAAGAGTTGGAAACCAGAAATGAAATATCTCCAGTCATTTCTGAAGTAACAATATGTATATGCATCCAAGTTGAACTAGAACATTTAATTTTACTTCAGTTAACATTTTTCCAATGTACATGGCTCACCAGTAAAATTCTGGGTGGCAAATTATATAAAAGTACCCTTATATTAAATGTCAAATTTATTAAAAACTAAGAAAACAATTTAGATCAAGGTCCCTGTAAAAAAAGTTGGTTCCCATGTATACATTCAAATGTAATAGCGCCAATGATTTAACATCCTGGCCCCAATGCCTGGGGCATTATTAGACTTTGCTCTGCATCTTTCCATCCAGTAAAAGCAAACCATTAAGTGAACTGCCAAGTAAGGATTAAAGAACAATATTAGATTATTTTCCTTTCAGATTTCTTTAGAAAAGCTTTGAATTAGGAAGCTTGTCCAAATTCACAATTTAGATAGTGTATCCTAATACAACTTTTTCATTGTTGGTACACTTCTGACTTTTTCCTAAGAAACTAAAAATAAATAGTCTTCCACCTTTTATCCTCATGGCAAAATATTTACAAAGTCAGATGTTCAAGACTAATCGGATCAAAATCTTATTCTAAACTTATCACTGAATGTACCTTTTAGTTCCAAAATGTTTCAAAATATCACAAATAAATAATGAAGCGTCTTAAATTGAAACTGATATGAAGGTCTTACTGTTTTCTGTTTTGCCTCTTCTGCAAGCTTTATGATTACAACATCTATCTTCCTAGAGCAGGGGTCTCCAACCCCCCCGGCCCATGGACCAGTTCCAGGCCATGGCATGCCAGCAACCGGTCTGCACAAACAAGCAAAGCCCATCCGGGAGATGCAGGCAGCACACAAAACCACACACCCTTCGATCTGCGGAAAAACCTCTCTCCACAGAACCGGTCCCTGGTGCCCAAAAGGTTGGGGACCTCTGTCCTAGAGGATTAGAACTCCCAACAAATCACAGGCTGAAAATGGCTCTGCAAAAAGCAGAACTAACATCCATGGTGGAATGAAGGATCAGGAGGTAGACCGGTTACTTGATAAGGAGAGAACTTGAGATTACTCACGAGGGCTCCTCACAAGGAGACTGCAAGATAGTGGTCTCCTGGCAGCTTTAGAGCTCTGAAGGCAAGGGAATAACCATGTTGCTCAGATCACAGCATCTTTGAAAGGACACTGAGTTTGCATACTTTCTAATCATTTTCCACAATTGCTTGTTAACTGCTTTGCACCTATTAGGAACCTTTGGATCAACAAGTTTTACAGTGCTATAAGAGTTTTCTTCAATCCTTAGCAAAATAAGTTTCAAATACAAGTTTAAATTAGGAAGTTATAAATGGACCAAGGATTCAGATGGACTTGAAATAAGATTTTGGACTTAATTATAAAGAAACTTTCCCATGGAAAAATGCTGTTGTTTTGACCCAAAGGTGCTCTTTCTAAAAGGCAACTGGACTTTCTTGTTTTTTTTTTCCTTTGAAAATATTTCACTTCTCATCCAAGAAACTTCTTCATTTCTTTTGAGAATCTCCAGAGAAGCTGTTGTTTTGAATTCTTTTATAAAAAATAAGATAAAGGCTTTAAAAATTGGACACTTTCTAGGCAACTAGAAAGAATTTAAAAAATTACAATTAAAGTAAAAGAACACTTAAACTCAACTTTCAAATACAGAATGAAGCAAAACATTTTAACATTAGACATACTGATGCACATTTTTGAACAATGGACCCAAAAGATCATTTTAATAATTTTATAGATGGATTGTGTTTAAAAGAGGTTATGGAAGAGGAACAGATTTTACCTGATAAGATCGAGACTAAGCTAAGGAGAATAAGACAAGAAAAACCTGCTGATGATGTTACCTAGTTTGGTAACGAAACATTCAGAAATTATATTGAAACAAGCTTGGAGAACAAACAACAGCCAAAATCGAAAACCCGAGCTACAAGTATTTTCTATTATTTTAAGATCAAGACTAATTTGAAAGTGGATTTAAAAATGACAAGCTACAATAGCATGGAAATAGATGTTACAGTGTATATACAAAAGAAGCTGGCTGATTTCTTAATAATTAAAAGGATATAAAATAACAAACTAACAGAGTGACCTGGATAACTTTCCTCTATTGGATTTAAAAAGGCTTGTAAACGGTTTGAAGAATTTTGTGAAAAGGCACCAAAAAAAAGGGGGGGGGAAATGTAAACTTCCCAATATAATCACAATCTGTCACTAAAGATTGACTATCTAAATAAAAACTTGCACATTTCCTTAACTTTCTATTTGTGCAAAATTCAAAGAAATCTATAAATAACCACTGTTCCTAATGTTATATGTAACCATTTTCAGAAGTTTTTAAGTGTGCCAGTTTTTAAGTCATAATTTTAATAGAAAAGCATTTGCAAGTGGTTAAGAAGCTTGGTTACTCTGATTATATCTTATGAAATGTTTATCAGTAGCTGTCAGTACATTTAGAGAACTAGGACTGTCACAGCTTTTGAGATTATAGAAGTCTTATAGTGGCTTATTGTAATTATATTTATTCTGGACAGTATTTTATCATTTGCTTTTCAGTCACTCAGGACAAATTAAACAAGAATATGATGCTTGGACTCAGCTGTTGGGCCTGCCCTGTGTCATGTGAACCCTCTATGTTTTGATTTCTAATCTTCAAAGACTGATGTGGAAAATATTGGTTTTGCTCAGCTGTTTTGATGGTTAGCAAAGTTAATGATTTCCATACCCAGTAATTAAACTTCTGGCAGTTGCTTGCAAAACATTTTATGCCAGGAAACAGAGAGCCTTATTATATTAAAATCCTTTTGCCACTTCAGTTTTTGCTAAAGACCTAAAGATCTTGAAATGTGAGACATGATAAACCCTGGCATATATTGTACTATAGGTAGTCCTCAACGTACGACCACAGTTGAGCCCAAAATTTATGTTGCTAAGTGAAACATTTGTTGAGTGAGTTTTGCCCCATTTTTACGACCTTTCCTGCCACAGTTGTTAAGTGAATCACTGCAGTTAAGTTAGCAACACAGTTGTTAAGTGAATCTGGCTTCCCCACTGAACTTTGCTTCTCAGAAGGTTGCAAAAGTTACATGATCCTGGGATACTGCAACCGTCATAAATACGAACCAGTTGCCAGGCATCCAAATTTTGATCACATGACCATGTGGATGCTGTAGGGTCATAAGTGTGGAAAACAGTCATAAGTCACTTTTTTCAGTGTCGTAACAGTCACTAAATGAACTGTTGTAAGTTGAGAACTATAATTCTTTAAGGTATTAACTTAAACGTGAATTGAGTAACATTTATTTAGAGCCGCAATCATCCTGGGTTTTTGTTTTTTTTAATAAAAAAAAGTTGCGCAAAGGAGAACCATTTGGCTTAAAAATAAACCTGAAAAAGAGCCAGGTTGTGTTTAATAAATTCACCAAAGAAAGAAAAATATATATATCTGGAGAAGAACTAGATGTAGTAGACCACTACATATACCTTGGCCAATGGATCTCAGTGGAAATTGATACAATAAAGGAAATTGAATGGCGTGTTAAATGTGGTTGGCAGGTATTTGGCAAGCTACAGTAAGTGTAATTTTCAAGAACAACCTCCCCCTATGCCTGAAAAGTTTTTGATCAGTGTGTGCTATGTGTTATAACATATGCTGGTGAAACATGGACACTAACCTCAGAATCGATACAAAAGCTACGAGTGGCGCAAAGAGCCATGGAAAGATAAATGCTCGACATTGCAAGACAAGATAGAAAGACCTGCACATGGATTAGAGAGCAAACGAAAGTACACGATATCATCAAGAGAGTAAAAGGACTGAAATGGAAATGGGCTGGTCACATAGCAAGAAGAACTGTTGGCAGGTGGACCAAGGCAGCCATTGAATGGATCCCACTTGATAAAAGGCGTCCACAAAAGAGACCCTAAAACAGGATCAATTGCCGGAGCTGGGGTGGACGTGGCTTCCGCCTGACCCATCCGGCCAGCGGATCGGCAGTTTGACACCCCTGGCCTACAGATTTATCCACTAGAAATTATCCATCTTATTTAACCAGTTCACAATAAATATAAAAGCTATGAGTGGCGCAAAAAGCCATGGAAAGACACATGCTCGGCATTACAAGACAAGATAGAAAGACCCGCACATGGATTAGAGAACAAACAAAAGTATACAATATCATCAAGAGAGTAAAAGAATTGAATTGGAAATGGGCTGGTCACACAGCAAGAAGAACTGATGGCAGGTGGACCAAGGCAGTCATAGAATGGATCCCACTTGATAAAAACATCCATTAAAGACCTAAAACAAGATGGATTGTTGACATCAGCAAGTATTGCAGGCCCAATTGGCAAAAGAAAGCTCAAGACTGGAAACATGCGGAAGAGGCCTTCATCCTGCAGTGGATAGACAATGGCTAAAATGATGATGATAATCATTCTGGCTTGGATCATGAACTGAAATTGTACATTATTTTTTTACTGAAGAAGGGAAAATATTTTTTGAGCAAGTACATTTACAAGTTATTTACTATAATTAGAATTAGAAAATGGTAGAAAGATTACTTATCCAATGTTGCTGAACTCCATTTCCTCAGCCTATAAAACTTTTAGTGGCCACTGTGGTCATTAATTTTAGTGGTTACTCTGTTTTAAATCAAATAATTGATCCCAGAGGCCTTTAGGAATTGCAAAAATGGTTTAGCAACCAAAGGCAGGATATTACTTACCCATTCCTGCTCTAAAACAAAGCTTGTCATAATGAATAGAATCAAGAATTTATACAGCAACAATTAGGTGGTGTTTGACAATGATGAAATTCTGTCAGATAAAATGTATTTTACCATCAGTATTCGTTTTTAATTTTGTTAATTATGTTGCAGCAAATATAGTGGGTACTATCTTTACCAGAGGCTTCTGATTTTAAGATAGTTCTATTATAGGAATTATCTTAATTCATGTAGAAAATACATTTTTGTTCTCCCTATGCTTCAATAAGATGTACATTAATTGTATCTATATTTTGTTTATCAGAGATCATTCACACTTTTTAAAACATGGGATATTTATTTAGAACAAATTCTCTTTCCAATTTGTATTTCTTAGAAAGACATTTTGCACACCTTTTTCTGCATTATTTTGGATTTTTCTCCAAATGGAGTATAAGCTACCAAGCCACATTATTTAAATTTGTGACTATTGGGCACAGCTAGGATAAAATTTATATTTGGGATAAAGTGGTGTCTTTTCCTTCACGACCGTATTAAAAAAAAAACGAAATAAAATTTGAATGGCTGAAAGATCAGCCGTGAAGAATTTCCAATAGCTTACCTCATCTTTCTTTTGCTGTTTTGAGAATAGACTGGATTTAAGAAATTCAAAAAAAAGTTACAGCTGTTTAAAGTATAGATACGTTCAAACAAGCTGAAATATTTTACACAAAGATAGGATATCATCTTCAATTAAAGGAATATTGTGCACTTTTATGTTTGGAATGCAATCCTATCTTGAATGCTCAAATCAAGTGGAAGATTAATAAGAATGTTTGGATAGTATTATTGCATTATGGATCTGAATTCCAAAGAAATATATATTGAATGCTCATGATTATTTATCTTTATTATAAACACTCAACTCTTAATGGATACTGAGTGGTGTACAAAAACAAAAAAATCCATAAAAACACATAAAGCCTGTTAACTTGCTGCAGCTTTTTCAAAACTTAGTTATGAAAATAATGAACAGGATAATATGATAGGGAGATCCCTTATGAGATATTATAGAAATTGTGAAAGTTGATAGATATATTCACATCTTGGGGAGAAAAACCATTCAGAAAAATAGTTGGCTAGGCGTTGTTTAAAACTCATTAATTTGAAAATGGGAAATACAGAAGCTGCTTTGTAAAGGGAAGATCTGAATATAATTGAAATGGTTTGTTGCTGAATAGCATATTTTTGGCAGGCATGTCAAGACATCAGAAATTTTACTTGTGTAAAATTCAGTAGCTCACATCGTTTTGTTATATCTTCCTCCAGATATTTGCCGAGCTATTGAGTTGCTGGAAAAGTTGCAAAGGAGTGGCGAGGTACCCCCTCAAAAATTGCAGGCTTTACAAAGGGTCCTTCAAAGTGAATTTTGTAATGCAGTAAGGGAGGTAAGTTTATTTTTGAAATGCATATACTGGTAGTCCTTGACCTGTGACCCTAAGGGAGCCTGCCCATTACCTTTGCAAGTGGTGACAATTGATTGCAATGTGTGGGTCATGGGTGGGGGAGGCCCTGGGAGCCTTCCATCTAGCTGGGTCCATAAAGCATTGCAAGCAAAAAACCTGGCTAGTGGGGGAAAGAGCTCAGCTAGGGAGGAGTGCTGCATTCCAGCTGCTGTGCATGGCCAGTTTGTGGGCTGGGCCTCTGCCACAATCAGCTGCCCATTGGGAGACTACAAAACTCTCCTGGGTTTTACTAGCCTTTGGGAAGCCAGCAACTCCAGGACCAACTCTAAAACCTTTCCTTTGCTTATCCCATTCCCTCCCCCAGAAACTTACATTTCTTCAATAAAAAGTTGGGAGGGACAGACTTGTTTATTCCCTTCCCCCCCAAAAAAAATTAGTTGCTGAAATTAAAATCTCCACCTCTTCCGTCCAGTCACTACCCTTTTAAAAAAAAAACCTCATTTGTTAAATGTATTTTATTTAAGGAAGTGAGACAGCAAAAAGCTTTCCAAAGCTTTCCAAGCTTTGGAAAGCTTTTTGCTGTCTGTCTGATTCCCTTTAGGACCCAGTTTCTGCCATGGCCATTTGCTACACGTTTGTGCTTTTGACACTTTTGCTTTGGGGCTGAACTTTTTCTTCAGCTCCTCCACTCATGCTGCAGAAAGATTTTTTTTTTTGCTTGCTTGCTTACTTCCTTTCCTCTACTCTTCAGCCTGGAATGAAGGTAAGTAGCCTACAGATTTTGTCACCATCTTTCCAGGCATGCAGTAAATTTAGCAAATGAGCTTTTAAATGGGATAAAGATTGGAGGGCCTGAAGCTGTTGCCCTTGAATTCAGGCAGCTGGTTTCCCAAAGGCTAACAAAGAGTCAAAGAAGTTTGGGGTCTTCTGATATCCAGCTGGTCAGGGCAGAAAAATCTGAAAGCAGCCATTTCCACAAGGAATTGTTGGATCACTGAAAATAGTGGCTGCTTCCAGGAGCCACGGGGAGCAAGCCCAAGGGGTTTGCGGGGTTCCATCAGGCTGAGAGGGGGGGAGGCAGAGGGGGGATTGCAGCGTCCCATGGTCAGCCGTAACAGTGAATGATCATAGGGGTGCTGCAGCCATTGTAATTTTAAAACAAGACCATATGTAGTTTTGGTGGGATCTAGATTTTGATTGATCGTTAAGTGACCTGTCGCATCTCAAGGATTACCTATATTAGATGGCAAAATACAAATTCCCCACTTAAAACGTTATGAGCAGGATGTATATCTGTTAGAAGCAAAGAGCTAGAACACCTAATGTCAGGATTCATTTGGATTTTTAAAATAATATAATTTCACAGTCTGCATATATTCTTAATGATCCCTACCTAGTTAAAACAGATATTAATATTTTTATTTATTTTTATTTTATTTATTTATTTTCTAAAGGTATATGAACATGTGTATGAGACTGTGGACATCAGCAGTAGCCCAGAAGTGAGAGCTAATGCTACAGCAAAGGTAAGAGACCTACTAATTGTGCCAACAAATGGAAAAAAGTACTTAAGAGTGGACTCTTTCTAGCAAGTCCTAATTAAGTTATTAAACTATGAATATATCCCAGTGAATAATAGTTTCAGTATATGGGTGCTGCTACTATTGAACTGTCCTTTTTAAATTTTCCCCAAATAATGAACTGTAATAGTTAATATTTACTAATCCATTTACATAAGGGTGCTACATGCCTGATACTTTCTAATTCACATTCCTGCTGGATTGGTACTTTTTGTGCATATCACACAGGTAGTCCTCATTTAATGAATGCAGGTAGTCCTCATTTAATGATCACAATTGAGATCTGCAAGGCCATTGCTAAGCAAAGCAGTTGCTAAGTGGGAAATCACATATCTGTAACTGCTTTCTGGCTCCAAACTTCCAAGACTAATCAGTTTCATATCTTTGGCTTTTGTTTTCCTCGTAACCATTCCTCCATCCTTTTGAATGCTTACCCTGGTGCTGGGATAATATACAGGAAGGAAATTAACATTTGTATTGACATTCATTGGGGAGGAAGAGATTACAAGAAAGTATATAGGCATATAGTGGGGATTACATATTGAAAGCAATATGTTGGGGCTGGTAGCTACATGTGTGTGCTACACAAACAGCCTTGGGTAGTCCCCATTGTGTTTTTCTTTACTCTTGTAATCAGTTCATCTCCAATTTCTCCGCTCTGCGAGGGAAGAGAACCACCCCCCCCAGAAATACAATGAGGAATATATTGGGCTGTTACAGTATGCTTTCAGCTGCTGGCACCAGCACATTGCTTTCCATATGTGTTCCCCATTGTGTACCTGCTTACTGCCTTGTAATCCCTTCCTCTTCAATTTCTTTTTCTGCAAGGGGAAAAAAACACAATAGCTTAGTTGCAGGACATCGTGTACTGGCTGTAATAGTAATTACATGATTGAGGGATGCTGGGAAGGTTATAAATGCAGGCCTTAGTCATAAAAAAAAATTTTTCAGCACTTGGTAACTTCAAAGTGGTCGGTGAGCAGTCAGTAATTGACGACTACCTGTAGCAGGAATCTGATCTTTCTATCCTGAAGGGCAGAGTAGAATGAAAGATACGGTCTGGCTTTGGAACATTTGTTGTTAATCCACTTGTGCCTGTTTCTTATTAAACATCTTGTACTTTGTTCCAAAATAAGTTAAAATATATCACATTGTATTTGTTATAAAGAATGTGCTTGTGTAATAAACTATAGCACTTCAAAAAGTGCAAGTAGACCCAAGTGTTCTCATTCATGTATTTATTATTTATGTATTAAACTTATATACCACCCATCTTGCCTAGAGGTGACTTTAGGTGGCTTACAGGCAAAAAAAACCCCACCCCAAGATAAAACATTAAAACAATGTTTAAAACGTTCAAAGTAATATTAACATTAAAATTGACTTAAAAATTAAGATGGCAAGGGAGGGAACAAGATGCATAATGGGGAGGAGGTGGGATTATGAAACACCTTCACTGCATGCTTTTTAACAAAATATAGTAAATGAATTATTTGACAGTTTGTGTGAATATGTTTAACTGATTTGTACTTTCCTCAGAATGCAGTCCTTAGGCTTGAGCACATTCATGCATTTTGACCAATTTCAGTTTCAAGAAACATTGAAATGATGCTAGAATGAATACATCCAATGAACTGGAGGTTAAACTGGAGGTTTCTGGATTTTATAGGCTACTGTTGCTGCTTTTGCCGCCAGTGAAGGTCATTCACATCCCAGAGTCGTCGAACTTCCCAAAACAGACGAAGGGCTTGGATTCAACATCATGGGTGGCAAGGAGCAAAATTCTCCAATCTATATATCCCGAATTATCCCAGGTGGTATTGCTGATAGACACGGGGGATTGAAGCGTGGAGACCAACTTCTTTCTGTAAACGGAGTGGTAGGGATGGAATTCAATTTCCGCTTGTAGTAGCTAAGTGTGACCGCTTGAGGGCATTAAGAGGATATGAACTATTTGACGGTGGTTGTAGTTTGCAATTGAAATGCTCAGGGGGAAATATAACTGTATTTGAGAAATTTTATAAATTTGTTAGTTCAAAATGGACATTTCATGAAGTAACATTTAAACTTAAAAATAAGACATTGAGTACGTACTTTAAAAAAATAACTATGGTTTTATTAGAATAACATTAAGAAATCCACCATTATCCTTAAAATGAAGGAGCTGAAATGTTTGGCTGCTTTATCCTAGCTATATTGAGTTTTATCATTAAGATCCAGTATTTTCTTTTAGTCTAATTTACCTCCCAGAATGTCCTTTTAGATAAAATTGAGTCAGGCATGTTTTAAAAATTCAGTCTTTAATTACAAATTTGATTGTCATTTAGATTTATGTACAAGCTAAACAAGTGTGCTAATTGCAAGTTATCCATATGCTTTTATATTTCCCAATTCATTTATTGATGCTATATATCAAAATGTCAGAATATTGATATAACGTATATGTAGTAATATTTAAATACTATGCTTATATATAGGACTCTAATTTTTATTACATAAACAAAAAAGAAACCTAAATCAGTGAAAAAAACTGATTTTACTATCCCTAATTAAAAAGGTTTAGCTGTTCTCTGCACAATTAAATCAGACTGCTGATCTACATTATTGTTGTCTATATATCAATTGATCCATTTTAGCTAATCAAACCAGACCTTCACATTGATACTCAGTTGATTAGAATGTTTTTCCAGATGCTTACAATCCCTGCTGCCTTTTCTGTTTTGGTTCCATTTGTAATTTGACTTTAACAGACAAGCTGCTTCTATACTGATGAAGCAGTGAAGTTATGAAATATTGTGGGGAAGTAGATTAATCTAAACCATCTTTAGGATTGTAAAGAATTGTCTTGCATTTAATTAGTTTCTATTGTACATAGTGCATCAAAAGTTAGGCATCACTGGTCAAATTTTAAGCTTTCAAAGAACAAAAGTTGACAACCTTCTGCATAGTACAAGCATGACATGATTTAGAAGTGGGTGTATATGTAACAATTTATATGCAAAATATGGAATGTGTGAATATGGCAGGTGCAGAACTATGGACACCCTTTTAATCAATACTTTGTAACCTCTCCTTTTGCAAAACTTGTAACTTTTCAAATATTTAAAGTAGCCAGCTATGAGAATCTTTCTGTATTTGCTTTTGGATTTTCTTTTTCACCCTTCCTTGCAGGACTCAGAATATCAACTTCATATCTGATTTGGAGATATTTTTTTTACATTGTTGTCTTGCTAAAATTGAAACATTTCACTTACTGTGAGGAGATGCTACTAGAACAAATTTACTTAAATTTACTTACGGTAACTATATTTACTTAAAACAAATTTATATAGTTGCTCATCTCATACACATGACTGTAGGCTGCTAACAAAACAAAATTTAAAAAATAACATCTGCAATTAAAAACATAAATAACATAAATAGCAACCAATAATAATGCAATGCCTCACAGTCAATATAACCAAAAACTATCAGGGTCTTAAACTTGATGGAAAAGTCAAGTTTCTAATGCCTAGTGAAAGGGTCAGCAGGATTGGGTTGTTATGTAATTAAATCTATTCTTTTATTGGCACAATATTTTCTAGCCAATAGAAGAAAATATTATCTATGTCACTGGCTGCCACACAGCCTCTAAAGCAGAGTAGAACTCCTTCTGTGATTGATGATTGGCAAGAATGATCTCTATTTTCAATTATCCCAAAAGACGTTTAGAATCGTGTGTGGTCTTGAAAGCAGACAGGAGAATCCCACTCTAAAAGGTTAAAAAGTATATTTGCTTACCTGTAGAATTGTCGTTACCTGGTTATTACAGGCAAAGGCTGAATCAATCAATTATTAGATATTAACAATTTTTCTCTTTTTTAAAAAAAAAGTATAACTGAAACAACTGGGTTTTCAAACTTCTATACCTGCTATATTATTATTTTCTTAAACTTTTGTATGCAACTGTAGAAAGCTTATTTATGAAAGATGATTGTCTCTCACTATATTATCTATGCTTCTAAATCCAAAATTCAGCTTTTTTACTTATAAAAATTTTGCTTCACATATATTTTAGTTTGATTTTTTATAAAATTTACTTTTCTGATTCCACTTGTAAATTAACGCTAAGTTTTGAGTTGTTTCTTTTTCTGTGATACATCAGTAGTTAAGAATGAGAATATTAATTGTTTCACAATTACAATTTATAATTTTCATTTTCAATTACAATATGGGTACTTTAATAGAATTTGAAAATGACGCATTGGGTAGAAAGATAGGCACATCCCTGTCTCTTAAAGGAAATAGCAATGGTGTGCTTCTAAGGAAATGAATGCAATCACACGGGCTGCGATGATGATGAAAAAACATTGTGTGGGCTACTTAATAACATCAGGACTCAGCGTTTGAAAAACACTGTTTTAATTTGGAATGGTTTGGAATAGACAATGTATGATAAAGGAAACATAAATCTTATATTATAAATAACGGTCTTGAATCTTGGAATGCTTGTTGAACACATACTAATGAAATATATAACATATATATGTCATTTTTTTCCCAGAGTGTTGAAGGGGAGCACCATGAAAAAGCTGTAGAATTGCTCAAAGCAGCTCAAGGAAAAGTTAAGTTGGTTGTACGCTATACACCCAAAGTCCTGGAAGAGATGGAATCACGATTTGAAAAAATGAGATCAGCAAAACGCAGGCAACAGAATTAATGCTGAATTACATCCAGTATTATAGGAATACTGACAGCCTACAGTAGATTTTTTTCTGGCTCTTCTGCACATCTACTTTATAGGGTGTTACAGAATTCATATTTGGAAATGGGGCAAGGATTTTCCTTCTTCTTCAGCTGGATAATATCTAACAGACTCAGATGGATGCAACTCTGCATATAATTCAAGGAAAAGTATGATATTTGTTCTATTCGTGGAAACATTTTTTAGTTAAATACGTTCATTTTATTAACATGTTGGTCTTTTACAAATCCCTTGAATATTCTAATGTTTTCAGAGGAAAAGTTTACATAAACATTTATAACTATGTGATTTTACAAATACTTCTTTAAAATTCAAACCTGTACTTATAAAAACAAATTTGTAAATTAATTAAGCATACTTTAATAAGCTAGTTTCAGCATTTGTATCATTGTTTTTCTAGTAATTTTTTTATTTGGCTTTATTTAAAAGATAAAATCTTTATTTTGAGTAAAAGATATAATACAGGTCTTGGCACGAAAATGTGTCATCTTCATGCAAAAAGTCATAATTGTATGGTTAAGTACAATTTGTATTTTTGATGAACAAGTTTTTATGCATGTTCCTGGTCATAATTTTATATTGTTATTGACAATTTTGACACCTAATCTTGTTTTATGAATATTTTGCAACAGGTGATCTCTTATTTAAAACTTCAGTGCTTAACATCCTAAAATCTAGCAGTAAGCATTCCAATAATTTATACCTTTGTATTGATTTCTAAAGATTTACCAAAATTGCAGAGCTTTGTACTTCTATTGAGGAGGGTTATATTTACATGCAGTGCAGAAAAATTAAGTTTTCTCTTGTAATTCAGTTATCTAAATATAGTTTACCAGTGCTATTCTTGGAAGACAAAACAGTTTGTGCTTCTGATAATTATGATAACTATATATTATCATCACTGTTGGATGTACCTTACCTCTAAGTGCTATAGAACATGATCTTTGGCTAGGGAGCACAATCAGGAAAGTGATACTGTACTGATGTCCTGTTTGTAGACTTTCCATAATTATCAAGATGGTCAGTGTGGGAAGGAATACTGAATTTTCTCAATTCTATCAGGGTAGTTTTTCACTGAAAAAAATGTTAAAGATCCACTTCAGGAATGATTCTGAATTATTTTCTAAAGTTTTCTACAACATACAGAGTTCAATCATTATGCTCTTTGCTGATTCCAGAGTGCAGCTAAAAAAACCTAAGAAATGCTATGATTTTTTTAAAAGAAAAGTGTTAACATTGGAAAGATACTCCTCTGGAGGAAAAGATAACACTTAAAGATTGTGTAAAACTGTTGGTGTGATTCTAGACTAAATAATACTGATCTAACAGGGTTTGTTTTTTTCCTCTAGGTAACTTTTCTGCTTTCACAGCCTTTAGTAGAAACGTTTTTCTGTGATCTGTCTTAAAACAAGCCTAGTACCAGTAGTGTACAAGAAAGCTATTAATGACTACTGAACTAATATGAAGAAAATGGTGGCCGAGACTAGTCTAAGCAGTCCTATCTCTTCCTGTCATAACTAGCAATGCTCTGTTTCAAAAAAGCAAGGGGCTAAAACTCTTAAAGTTGTCTCTGTCTTAAAGCATGCATTGCCTAGCACAGGGGTGTCAAACTCGCAACGTCATGTGACGTGTCGTGACGTATCGTGACTTTTTTTCCATTGCCGGCAATGGGATGGGTGTGGATTTGGCATGATGCATCTGGCCCATGGGCTGGCAGTTTGATACCCCTGGCCTAGCATGATAAAGTGTCTTTAGCAGCTAGAGTTACAGTATGCGGTTGGACCCCTAGGTTACCTGTGGGACTTTCAAATGAGTGGAAACCTCATTTATCTTTGGTCATTGTTAAGCTGCAGTTCTTACCAGTTCCAATCACTGGCAGTGCTAAGTCACGTGGGGAGGGGTGTAAATCCAGTGGTTTAGATATTTGGTTCTGCATCTCTACTTTGCGTCAAAGAGCCTTAACATTCTCACAAAATTGACACATTGAGTTGGCCATTGAATGAAGGCCATTGGATACAATAAATTGGATCTTAGCTGGTTTTCTATTTTATTTTTCTCCATTGCCTTTTGGTATTTTTAAATAAATCATGAAGCCACTATATTACTGTCTTAAGAATGAGGGAGGCAGAAAGTATTGTTCTGTTTTCCTCATAACCTCTACCTTTAAAGTTTCGATTATGAGGTAGACATGTGATCTTTGTTCTTTCCCTCACCATTTTGTCATCTCTCTTCAGCTTTATTCCTTGACTGAGATAAAATTGTTAATCTTCCCACCTAAAAGAAGATTTTAAGTTTGCACCTTAAGAATCTTTGATATCTATGTAACATTTGCCTGAGTGTCTGCTGGATGTTATAGTCCAGGCATGTCAAACTCGCGACATCACATGACGTTGCGCAACATATCGGGCCGGTTTTGCCATTGCCGGCAATGGGGTGGGCGCGGCTTCCACATGACGTGTCCGGCCCGCGGGCCGGCAGTTTGACACCCCTGTTATAGTCCAAGGGAATAATTGTCTGAAAACGTCTTATGAATGACTAGAACATCGGTAAAATATGAAAGGTCATAGGAATAGTCTTTTCTTTCTATGTCAGCATAATCTTGTTTAATAAGGTGACCCTATAAAAAAAATCAGTAGAGGCTGGTACAAGTAATTGTAAATGCTTTCTTGGCATTTAGCAATTATATGTTTGGAATAATAGAGTATAGGTTACTGAAATATGATTTTTCAATTTGGTAAGACAGCATTGAACTGCAGCTGGCAGCAGGAAACAGTCTGTAGAACCATGAGGCTTAATTGTATATTTTTATGAAGCAATATTAAGTAAGACCAAGCAAAATAGTTGGGGCCAGTCAGGAAATAATTTAATTTTATACAACTAGATTTATGTTGGAGTTTACTATATTCAAGAGAAGGATAGAATGAGATAAAGGCTATTATAAAATGTATTCATGTGTTGAACACAGCAGTGTGCTTTATTACTCTAAATAAATAGTTTGGAGTAGCCAGGACTGCTATAAAGTTTTATAATATAATATTACACAAACTTACTTGGAAGTAGCATTCAACGAACATAAGATTGTAATCTGAAAATTAGTTCTTAAGTCAGTGTTCTTTTGTTCTTTTTGGGTTTTGTGGGCTTGTCCTAAAAAAACTATGTGAGATTAAATCATGATTGTAGAAAATAATAGACAAATGACAAAAATTTCTTGTCTTATGAATTATTAATAGCAAGGAGCAAGTAAAAAGGAGTACTACAGGGCAGGACAAAATCATATTCCTTAAAGTTAAACTGAAACTGAAAGATTCACCCAAATCTACCTTAATTGCTGTAATCCATAATATTTCATCAGTGGGACCCTGTGGCAAGATTGAACTGTCATTTTTAAATTCAGATTAAATTTATGCAATCAAGAATCAAGAAATTAATGTCACTGAACACATGCATTGACTACACTGTGTTTTGGCATATGTGCACACGCAATAATTTAACCAGCAAAAACTAAACACTCTGTATAGTCATTATGTATTTATTGCTGTTCCACAGCCCTGTTTTTTAGGAACTTGAAAATAAAAATTTGAAATTTCGTATTTGTTATATGAACTTATTTGATTATCAGAAATAAAAAACATTCCTCCCGCCACACATCTGCTCTGGGTATAAAATACTATAAATGTTATTAGGTATTACAGTTATCAAATGTACAGTTGTAACTCTGCTCTACCGTTATAAAACACTGGGATTACATTTACATTAGCTTGGGTTCAAAATCTTTGTATAGTTATAAGTATATCATTTTTCTGAGCTTGATTATAGATACCTGAGCAGCTCAGAAGAAAGCCACAGGTGTCAGACTACAGCTGCTTTCTTCTGACTTAATACGGCATTCCTGTACTGATAATGGTGGGATTAGTATAGCCATTTTAATTCCATGCTTATTGCACTTTAGAGTGACAAAATACCCAATCTTTTATGTTTCATTTCTGATGTATTGAAAGCATGGCACAAGGTTTGAGTGTCTTAAGTCTTTTTAACAGCATCAGTTTGAGGGAACTTATTCTTCCTCTACAAAGAATTGGGGGGAATGGAATTACATAAATTAACAGTGACCTACCAATGCTATTTTCTCAGTGTTGTGCTGGCAGGGTTCATTGAGTTCATGTATGCCAAGCTGTGGTTTGTTTGCTTGTTTGGCAACTGGCTGGATATTGGCAAACTAAAAGCAAGCAACGTTTTGGCTTAGTACAACCTTTGCGTTAACAATTTCCTGCCTCCCTCAACTATGCATAGATTAGGACAGAAATGTAGTAAGGGGACCTGCATCTTTAAATAAGGTTTTTTCCCTTTCATGTAATTTGTAAGGGGCCATACAGATTGCCACTTTTGAGACAAAGGGGCCCATCTGGTTAATTTTTATAGTGTTTTAAGAACTTGAGAAACTGCTTCAATCAGTATGATTCCCTGAGTTAAGCATTGCTTGCTTTTTCTCTGGGAGTCTCTGTCCAGAGTTTTCAACTTCTCTGTTGATGATATAATTGAATTCAACTTCCTTTACATTTCATTACTCCAGACCAGGGGTCTTCAAACTTGGCCCTTTTATGACTTGTGGACTTCAATTCCCAGAATTCCTCAGCCAGCGTGCTTGGCTGAGGAATTCCACAAGTCATAAAAGGGCCAAGTTTGAAGACCCCTGCTCCAGACTTTTTTAAAAGTCCCCTGCATGGACTTTTTAAAAAATATTTAAAAATAATGGGAGCTAAAGTTGCTCACCTGCTAATTGCTATCATAGAAAGCTGAGGTAGCAGACTTGTTTGAAACAAAGGTATGCTTCATATGCATACAGATAGTCCTCCACTTAAAACCTTTCATTTAGTGACTGTTCAAGGTTACAACAGCACTGAAAAAAATGACTTATGACCATTTTTCACACAACCGTTGCAACATCGCCATGATCATGTGATCAAAAGTTGTAGGCTTGGCAACTGGCTCATATTTATGACAGTTGTAGAGTCACAGGATCATGTGATCACCTTTTGTGACCTGACAAAGCAGTACGGAAGTTAGATTCATTTAACAACCATATTACTAACTTAACTCGTCACTAAGTGAATTGACACCGTTCTTTTCATTATTTTACCCCGTTTTGAGTGAATAGTTGACAGAGCGAATCGTTGTTTTTTTAACCCGAGTCAACAGTATCTAACTCCTGATGCACACATAGGAGTTTGGAAATAAAGTTTGTTCGGACGGTGAAGTGAAAAGAAATCGTTAATATTAACTCGTTGAAATCGAGGAATTAAGCAGGTGAGCAATT